GACAAGTAGCAACCAATTACATATAGCTAGCTATACTTACTTACTTATCCTTCCTCTTCTACCGTCTTGGGTGTCGAGTGTCGAAGGGAAATGGATCTTTCGGTCTCTGGCAAACTGGGTGGCCTGGCTGGGTGGGATGTTGTGTGCCTTCAGGGTATCCTTCGCATCCTCGATCCAGGTTTTCCTTGGTATTCCTCTTGCCTTGTACCCTGATATTCTTTTGTTGTACGTTTTACTAGCAAGCTGGTGAGGTGCCATACGTGTCAGATGTTCAAACCACCTGAATGTTTGCCTCTGAATGTAGTGGAGGACAGGTGTTGTTCCCACCATTTCTCTTATCCTGGTGTTTCTAACTATGTCCCATCTGGTTGACGGCTCTTCTTAGACATCTCATCTCTTTAGTGGTTATCTTGTGTTTCAGAATTGTGGTCAAAATCCATGTATGGCATTAGTATGTCAAGGTAAGGATAAAGACAGAGTCAATGAGCTTGGCTTAGGTCTCAATGGGGCTGTTAGAATAGAGCCCCTCCTATACTTTACGTAAATTCAGATTGAAAGAAGCTATGCTATGTTATGTGTCAATGACTCTGTAGACGCAGGGTTTGTTTGTTTGTTTTAAACTCAATACTTGTCAGTTCTCGGGTCGCTAGATCTGTCCTATTATGTAGACTTGAGCGTGAGTCCTCACAATAATAATAAAATCCTCACGGGCGTACACCAGCCTTTTGGTCGCCCGTCATCGGGCAACGCCAGATGTTTTTTACCGGCCGGTTGAGGTGGAGCAGTTGCTTTGAAGTTTCTCCAGGCGGCTTTAGAATTTCACTTCAATTTTTTTCTTTAAAAATATTGCAAAAGCCTAATAAATAATAGCATTTTCATAATCAACGCAAATCAGGAGCAAATCGCCGATACGTGTTAGAAAGAGGCCGAGCTTGCAGAGATGTGTGTGGGAAAAAGATTATCAATCAGCCACCGAGTAGGTGCCGTTTGCTGTGCGTAGTGTGTACCTCTGGCAGTCAATTGACTGGCAGTACAGCGGGGCAGATTCACATTAGTTTAATAAGGACTGTACAGCTCAGGCAGCAAAGTTGGCGGATCGTGGTGTAAAGACGAAAATACTCTCTTATATAGCTCCATTTCGTACATTAGCACAACCTGGTGGTATTCAGAGCTGTCGGGTTAACGGCGGTGGTATAACGTGGTTTGGCTTAAGATCATTTAATAGGCATCAACGATGGGGGAGGGGGAGAGGGAGAGAGAGAGAGAGAGAGAGAGAGAGAGAGAGAGAGAGAGAGAGAGAGAGAGAGAGAGAGAGAGAGAGAGAGAGAGATAGAGAGAGAGAGAGAGAGAGGGGGGGGGGCAACAGACAGACTGCCCCTTCCTCTTATTAATAATATACGCCTCTGAAGTATAAACGACGTTTTTTTTAACCATATTGCATAAAGGATTATTATTTTTAGTCTCCCATCTGTGCAGCCCAGTGCATGGTCACACAAAACCATGACCCTCTTCTGCAGACAAACAAGCTGTTGGCGCACTGCTCCATTACCTTTGCAAGTGAAGCATAGGTGAACAGCCGGGGTACGCCGACATAGACACTAGGCTCTAGAGCTACGTCGTTTTCTGGTCAAAATGGACGTCTGCTGCTTATGTACTACGTGGACCCTTGCAGTTGGCGCTGCTATGCTGTGTGTTCTTTACGTGTTGTCCAAACAGTTTGTGTTCAGGAAAGGCAACCCTCCGCCCGGGCCTCGAGGATGGAAGGGTTTTATGGAGATTTTACAAGCTAACCGTGACGACTCTCTGTACGAGGCAGCCTGGGGGTGGGCGGAAAAATATGGAGACTTGACGTTCTACACAGTATTAGGCAAACCCATGTGTATGTTACACTCGGCAGATATTGTTCGGAGAGTCTTCGGCTCAGACGAGTACAAACTGCTCACATCTGACCGTGAGCCTACAGTGGTGTCTGAATTTGCGTGGTATAACGGGAAGGAGCTTTTCTTCACACCTTATAATTCCCAAACTAGACAGAAAAGAACTTTGTTCCACAAGATAATGGGAATCTACGGGGAAGGTGTGGACAAGTTTGAGAGCGTCGTTAGTAAAGAGCTTGATCGCGTTTTGGAGGAGATGGACACTGCTAGAGTTACTGACCAGGATATACCCATGCCTCAGATTTTGTCGAGATCTCTGAAGATTATTTTGTACGTGCTGGTAAGTAAATGGCAGATTCGTTTTGACTTTTTAAAGACCTAGCAGACCTATACCTCCGACCAGCAGGAGATCAAAGACAATGCTGCAGCCCATTTAGAACCATCACAAGATACGAATTTGAATGTTTCACAGTAGGTTATGCTTGATATTGGCTACCTAGATTTTCGAACAAGGAATCAGAATTGAAAAAAAATGGAATGGATAACAAAGGCATGCTTCTTTCTCAAAAATGCCCAACACAGCATGTCTTCAAACGTTGTCTACTGACCAGAATGCGCAATTGCAAAGAACTGTTTCTCATTGGTCAGTTTGGATCAGATCGGGTCGGGTAATGACATTGCTCAATGAAAACTGAGTCAAATTACCTCTGCTTTGCTTCATTATCATCGGACCCAAAAGCTCGTTAGGACCTATCGCATTCTCCCAATTTCTCACACAAACAAAAGGTCGTATGGACTAGCGTATTATAAAACTGGCTGTTTTCATGTGTGTTCTATCCTATGCTTTGGAAATCGGAAATCAAAAATAGGATACGATAGTTACTGTGTCTATATTCCTATATTTTCAGGTCAATTGTGACATCGATCCTGCAAGACTCAGCATCGACGTCACCGATACATTGGAGCGCTACGACATTGCAGTAAACCGGATGCTCGACGTACAAACTCTCACAGCCCTCACTTTCTTCCCGCCACTGCGCAAGGTCGGCAAATACAAGAAAATTTGCGATGACGTCACTGAGAGCAAAATTGAGGCTGAGAAAATCATGTTTGAAGACCTTAAGGTACGGCCCTTAAGCCCGTGTCTGCGATTATTCTCACATATTTTGGGTCAACGGAAATTTGGACTCTCCAATCTGAGCTTATTTGATTTACTATGCACGTCCAGGGTCTTCAGTTTCTATGGAAACCCGATTTCTGTCACTATACCGTCATTTCTAAAAGACACTTAACTTATTTAAATAGGAAATTGGGGGGGGGGGGATGTGTAGCAACTTACTTTTACCATTATTTATTGTTTATGTGACTTTTAGTGCCATTATTATTTTGTGCGTCTGTTTTCTTGCTCACATGTTCTCTAAATTAGATCAACATAGCGAATTCAATTCGTTAGCTCAGTGACAATGTAGACTTAGTTCAATAAATGTCTGAAAAAAAAGTTTTAAAAAAATTATTCAACTTGATCCTTGCATATTATTATGCTGTGATTGTAGTTGCAGCAGCAACAGCAGCAGCAGCAGCAGCAGCAGCAGTAGAAGTAGTAGTAGTAATAGTAGTAGTAGTAGTAGTAGTAGTAGTAGTAGTAGTAGTAGTAGTAGTAGTA